GCATATAGTTGATTTTGATGTATCTGATACGGAAATGGAAAAAACGCTAAAGAGCAAATCTGACATTACTGCGTGGTTAACAACATTCTCTGCTGAATGTATAGCAATAGCTAAAGATAATTGTTGTGCCCCGATTGCCGAAAGAGGTAACGAGGGCACTCAAGCAGTATTACTGCAATTAGAATAACACTAGCGTAAGCATATTGCGCGATCGAGCCACAAAAGCCCGACCGCGCAACCTAATTAAATTCGGAGAAGTCAGCAAGTTCTCGACCCGATTACGCATAACCTCGATCGAGTACCGAGAAACCTCGATCGAGTACCGAGAACGCTGACGCCTCGATCATCGGGTTTAAAACCGGAGGAAAGCCCGAGATCGAGGCACTTGTCAAGCACGCGTCATTCGATACTATACGTTTACGCGATAAGCATTTGTCCGTCAGGCCTTCGGCCTGCCGTAAACCATCAGTGTAACACTCGGTTGAATAAAGCTACATAGTGATAGTTAAACGGTGCCTTTTTGGAGTGACCTCCGACCAGCCACATCCCATCAAAGAACCCTTCGGTTCTCGTCAGAGAACACCTCCGGAGCGAGCAAGAAGGAAAATACACCGCGCACGGAGCGGCGCGGCAACAAATGCTATAAAAAATCCAGGATGTAATGTAAATCCATATTATTCCGTAGGAATTGGAAAACGAATAATATCTTTATTATTATATTTTCCACTATATTCAAACGTAATGGTGCCTATTTTCACTTATGGATCTTTAACTGCAACATCTTCTGCAGTGGAGGCTGAATTTAACGACCTTGAACACCGCCTTTTAAAAAATATTTCGCGTCCGATGCGCATTGATAAGTGTTCGTAATGATACAGGTACTCGTTCCAAGATATATGCGATGGTTTATTCAGTTGCGGATACAGATTTTTACAAACGTCTTGTATCGCTGCTTGCTACGGCTCAACTAACTGCTTTATCTTTTGTTCGCACGCCATCTAACCACGTACATACAGCCGCTCGAGCACAGCGCTCGATTCGTGCGCACACTTATGAACTACGCTTTAATGTCCTATGCCCAACATATCGCCCACCAAATTAGCGCAGCTAATTTGTGAATCGGAATCTGACGCTAGAGGCAACTTACAAAGTTTTACGATGGATCGTTTGACGTTATTACCGGATGTGCGAACTGTAGCGACTCGGACTAGACCGTCGCTGCCTGGATGCAACTCTATGACTCGACCCAATTTCCACTTGAGAGGTGGAAGGTTCTCTTCTCTTATAATCACCAGATCATTGACCTTTAAATTCTCTTTTGCAATTCGCCACTTGCTGCGGCCCTGAAGATTGTTGAGGTACTCTGCCGCCCACCGTTTCCAAAAATCTTGAAATACTCGCTGAATCATCTGCCACCTGTCTAAACGGTTCAGCGGAATCGTCGTTACATTAACGTCAGGTAAACTCGTCAATGCTTCTCCTATTAAAAAATGCGCTGGCGTGAGGGGTTGTAAATCCATTGGATCCGCGGACATTGAAGATAGCGGTCTCGAGTTCAAGCAAGCCTCTATTTGACTGAGCGCTGTAGCCAGTTCCTCAAAGGTGAATAGAACGTTGCCCATAACTCGCTTGAGATGGTACTTGCAAGATTTTACCCCTGCTTCCCATAGTCCTCCCATGTGTGGAGAGTCGGGGGGAATGAATTTCCACTCGATGTTTTCGTTTGCAAACATGTCACCGATGCCAGTCTCTACTTCTGCACGAACGAACTGATAAACTTCTTTCAATTCGCGATTTGCTCCGATGAAGTTTGTACCATTGTCGCTGTACAGGGTGCGTGGCCTTCCTCGTTGACCGATGAATCGTCTCAGGGATGCGATGAATGCAGCGGTTGTCAACTCGCTTGTGGCTTCCAAATGAATGGCCTTGGTTGAAAAACATACAAATAAAGCAATGTAGGACTTGTTCGTCTTGCGTCCACGTCCCTTGTTAACTAGAGTCGTTATAGGACCGGCAAAATCGACGCCAGTGATCGTGAAGGCTCGACTCGGATGAATTATATCGCTTGGTAACGATCCCATAATTTGCGATGAAACTGGTGGCTTGTTTCTTGCGCAACAAACGCATGTACGGCACACTTGTCGTGCTAAGTCTCGACCTCTGAGAGGCCAATAGCGCTCCTTGATTGATGACAACAATAACAGTTGGTGTTCAGTGTCAACGCGAACAGTATTCGTGTTCGCGCTGTCTTTTCGCGTAATAACAAGTCGTGTTGTTCGTGAATCTATTGTTTATTGTTCAGTCTTAGAATACGCCACAAATCACAATGTCTCGCACTCGCGATGGAGATACCCGCGACAACGCCTTGGGGACGTTGCCCTGGGTCGCGGACGATTCGTATGTTCGCACTTGTCGTTTTTTATCGTTTGCTGTACGATAATTATGTTGTCCGGCGACGACGCCTTGGGGACGCTGCCCTGGGTCGCGGACGTATCGTATGTAACGCACTTATTTGTTCTTATCGTTTGTTATAACGATAATTATCGGCCCGGCGACGACGTCTCGAGGCTGTTGCCCCGGGTCGCGGACGTATCGTATGTTCGGTGACGACGCCTTGGGGCTGTTGCCCTGAGTCACCTTCACGGATGCTACGCGACTCTCACTGAATCGATCACGATCGAAACCCTTGATATTATCGACGCGAGCACTCCCGATGCACGTAGGAGATCGTTCTGTCTGTTCTGTTCTGTTCTGCGCTGTACTGTATTGTATAGTGTTTTTTGACTATCACGTTCGACTATATATATATACTGCGATCCCCCACCAAGATTCCAGGAAGTTTTCCCAAAATCTTATTGGTGGGCCCTTAGGTCCGCCTATCGATCATCGATCAGCGGCTCGCAGACACCGGAGAAAACAAAGAGTGCGGGAATTACCGAAGCCGCGCGCCCGAGCTCACCGGCGCCGTACACGTTCGAACTCGCACCGCACGCCGCCCCTAATCTTTGTAAACAAGATTGCGCGGATGCGTCGACAGACGGTCGCCGGTGTCGATGCGTGCGTTCCGTGCCGCTTATGTTATCGTCCTTTGTTGTGTACATATGTATGTACATACATTGCGTCGTAGAAACGTCGCGCACGACCCTTCTACGACGCAACACCGTCCTTCCGTATCCTTCCCCCACGTGCCCGACAGCGTAAAGTTCAAGTTTTATCATTGATTCATCGCATGTATGCGCTGGAACGCGCCCATCGTGTCCGACTCGTGAGAGACGCTACGCAACAGTTGGCTTGCATGTAACAATCGTCGATGTTCTCGTTCGAATAATAATTTTACGAATCGATCTCCAGCCGGTAATATGATGGGATGCTTCCGCTCGAATGATAGCAACGCGTGTTGCAATCGACCGCCCACCCTGAGCACGCCGTGATCATCGACAAAGGGACGCAATTGAAGGAGTTTACTAGAAGTCTTCAAGTCGCGACCACCTTGCAATGCCGATATTTCTTCTGCGAAATGAGTAGCTTGAACTTGCTTAACCAGATGTCGATGAGCCTCTTGCAATTCTGCTACCGATAATCTGCCGAATGTTCGCTCAATCGATCCCTTGGACAGGTTTGACGTGAATCTCATAACATATGCCCAAACTCGTTCGATTTTGGTGAGTGACGAGAATCGTTCGATGACTTCTCGACTCGGCTGTTGTTTCTCGCTGACGAGATTGCAACTGGGAGCGGACAATTTTCGTTCTTCAATTTTGATCATTGCCAGTGTTTCGCCTGGGAACTCGAACCTTGAACCGTCGTCAGGCGATGGACGTCTTTCTTGTAGCCATTGAGGCCCCGACCACCATAGACAGGAATTCTTGAGGTGATTCGGACTAGTGCCACGAGATACTAAATCAGCGGGATTCTCTCTACCTTGGACATGACTCCAATGCTCCGCTGGTAATATCTGGGTAATCTCGGACACTCGATTCGCGACAAATAATTTCCAACGAGATACATCGCCACGAATCCAACACAGTGCGACAGTTGAATCGGACCAGGCTCGAATATCGTTAATTCGCACTCGTAAGCCCTTACGAACGCTTGCAATCAGACGAGCCAATAGGACCGCACTACACAACTCCAACCGAGGTATTGAAGTTGGTTTGACAGGTGCGACTCGTGATTTGGAACACAGCAACCTTGACGTGAGTATTCCGTTTTTATCTTCGGCTTGTATGTACAGGCAAGCCCCGTACGCTGCCTCCGACGCGTCGCAGAATCCAAAAAGAGATATTCGCTCTGGCTTGTCACACGATATAATCCGTCTTGGAATTAATATCGCCTCCACCGAATTGAGATCTTGCCTAAATCGTTCCCACTTCTCGACAAATGTGGATGGAAGATGCTCGTCCCATTGAGCTTCGATTCGCCATGTCTCCTGCATCAGTATCTTGGCAGTGGTTAAGATTGGGCCAATCAATCCGAGCGGATCAAAAATTTTGCTGATTGTCGACAATACTTGCCTCTTTGTGGTAGCAGATTCCGTTCGTTTCACCGAGAAACAAAACATGTCGTTTTTCGGGTTCCACTCAAGACCTAGCGTCTTGATGGTGTCATTAGCGTCGATACTGCGCTTCGAAGGATCTCCTCGTTGCTCTTGTGGTAAATGGGCCAAGCTTACCGGACAGTTCGTGCACCATTTGTGGATTTCAAATCCGCCCGTTTGCATCAATGCTGTAAGCTGCCGTTGCGTCTCGATGACTCCTTGGACGCTGTCAGCTCCGGTCAGAATATCATCTACGTACATTTCGTCGAATATAACTCGTGCAGCAATAGAAAATTCGCTTCCCGCTTGTTCCGCGATTTGACGAATACATTTAATAGCCAGATACGACGAACTCGCTTCGCCATAGGTAACGGTATTTAGTCTAAATTCTCGCACGGACTCCTCAGGGGATTCTCTCCATAATATGCGCTGATAATCGCGGTCAGATGGATGCATAATTATTTGTCTGTACATTTTGTGCAAATCTCCGGTTAACGCAATGTTGTGAAACCGAAAACGCATGACTATCTCTATCAAGTTGCTCTGTAATGTGGGCCCTACGTGAAGTACATCGTTTAATGCTACTCCGGAGTCTGTCTTGCTTGATGCGTCGAATACCGTTCTAATCTTCGTACTGCTACTTGATTCTTTAAACACACAGTGGTGTGGAAGATAAACAATTTTACATGGAACCTCTTGTGACACATCACGCACGACAGACATATGCCCGAGATCCTCGTATTCGCGCATGAAGCTTACATATTGTTCTTGCAACGACCGATTTTTCCTGAAACGTCGCTCTAATTGAATCAATCGTCTACTCGCAATGTCTCGTGATTCACCTAGTCGACTAGGGTCCTCGCGAAATGGTAGCCGCACTACGAAACGACCGTTAATGTCTCGACTTGTCGTTTGCTCAAAGAACTTCTCACATTGTTGCTCGTCTACGGATAGCGTTCGATTTGTCTCTGATTCGACATTCTCAATTTCCCAGAAGTTTTCCAAATTTTTGTTTAACGTATCGCAACATTTCACTGAACAATTTAAAGTTGCTATCGTGCTCCTATTACATATCAAGCTAGTCGCGTTGGCGAGTGGAATCGACCCCGCGATTACCCATCCGAATCGTGTGCTTAATAGAACTGGCTTACTGGTTCCTAGATCAATCTTTTCGTTTCCTAACAATTCATAAAAGAATTCCGCACCTATCAACATATCAATCGAACTCGGTTTATGAAACTCGACGTCTGCTAGCTTTATGTTCGACGGAATTGGTATCGCGTTTTTATCTATATCTACCGCTGGCAAATTCTTTGTGATAGTTGGTACCACGAGACAATGAACATTTATTCGGTAATCGTAATGTCTTGACTGAACGACTACATTGCAACTTTGCGATATCGAACTTTCCATTTTATTTAAACCCGTGACAATTTCGGATATTCGATCACGTTTCACGCCTAATTTGTTACGTGCAGACTGCGAAATGAAGTTCGCTTCACTTGCACTATCTAAAAGGATACGAATTGTCGACTTGGATCCATTCGAACGTACTGCGTCGACCAAAGCCGTAGCCATCAGAACGTACTGCTTCCTGGGACGATTCGTTGCATGATGAACCGCTACGTTGTTGCTCGCGTCGCCCTTTGATTCAACGCCTGTGGTCTCGTCGGTGCGTTCCTCCTTCGTAGATTCCTTGCTAGCTGTTGGACGGTGCAGCAAAGTATTATGCCGTCCTGAGCATTCCTTGCAGCCTCCCATCCGACACGTTTTGATGAAATGGTTATTGCGAAGACAGTTGATGCACAATTTCATTCGCTGTACCTCCTTGAGCCACTCGTTGACGGGCATTGCAAGGAATTTATTGCACTGGTACAGAAAATGTTCTCCCTGACACAAATAATATTTTCCAACGTTCGTTGAAGCTGCCAGCGTCGCTGGTTTATCTCCTTGTGTCGGCTTTGTCAGATTGCGAGCCTTTGCCTGATGTTTGTCGGGTCCATTTACCTTCGTGGCGTCCTTCTGTTTGGATCTTGCCTCGATGCGTTCAATTATTTGGCACCTTGTTTGCAAGAATTCGGTTAGATTTTCCAAAGTTCCGGTGGCTGCGTGGTCGCTTTGTTCCCACGCGCGTAGTGTCACCGTGTCCAGCTTCTCCTCCATCATGTGTATGATGAGATCTTGCCATGAATCTGTCGGTAGATCCATAGATTTTAAGATTCTTAAGTGTTTTGATGTGTAGTCGACTAGTTCTCGTATTGCATTCGACGATTCTTTTTCTACCCGCGGCATTGTAAATAGACACTGAATGTGTTTCTTCTTGATGGCTCGTGGATCGTCGTAACGCTTGATCAACAAGTTCCATGCCACCGTGTAGTTTTCGTTGGTTAGCTCGATTGACTCGACGATTTTCGCCGCAGCCCCAGTAAGTGATGTAATTAAGTATTGGAACTTTTGCACTTTAGGAATGCTCTCATTATTATGTATCAAGGATTGAAACGTTTCTGAGAACCGTTGCCATTCTTCCAAACGACCATCGAATGTCGGAAGCTTGACAACCGGTAACCTCACCTTCGACTCGTTGTTGACCGCGCCACCTCCCTCGGCGAATCGGCGTAGTAATTCCGTCTGTTGTTCGACCAATCGCGTAATGGCGTCGTCACTTATCGTTGATGCCCGCGCGCTGCTCGCGTCGTTGCTTTCGGGCCGTTGCATGATCTCGGTTTGTTGCATTCGCTTCAATTGAATTTTCAGCTTTAGATACAGATCCTCGAATCCTTCGTCTTCCGCTTCATCGACCTCAGATATTTCGTCTACCTGGATGGCAACTATCTTCCGCTGCACGTCGTCGAACTCGCTGCGTAACTCTTCTAACCTCGACGTGTAGACCTCGACTTGTTCCTTGGAAACCTGCGCTTGGTCTTCTTGATCGTTGGCGACCTTCCCTTCCAATCGTGTTAATTTGGCTTTCACCGTTCCTCGTTGCCTGCGTAGAACGTCCATCTTGCTCGTCTCGTTCCTTGATAACTTGCAAGTATGGACTGCGTGTAAATTGCGTGTGAACTGCGTGTGGACTGTATCTTCTCAACCGTTGACCTTTTTCCTCGATCCGGCTCTGACGGACCAATGTTCGTAATGATACTCGTTCCAAGATATATGCAATGGTTTATTCAGTTGCGGATACAGATTTTTACAAACGTCTTGTATCGCTGCTTGCTACGGCTCAACTAACTGCTTTATCCTTTGTTCGCACGCCATCTAACCACGTACATACAGCCGCTCGAGCACAGCGCTCGATTCGTGCGCACACTTATGAACTACGCTTTAATGTCCTATGCCCAACAATAAGTTTGTAACTTTGCACCTGAAATCATTTTCTGGACGTGCAAAACTCGCAGTAGCGGAACAAATACCTGAAATCAAAACTGTATTGGGTAATATAGAAAATAATACAGGAAAAAAATTAGAAAACAAAACTAAAGAAAACGAAACAGATTCAGACAATGTACACACTGTGACGTTGCCGTCCCGCGAGCGCGTCCACCGGGTTCCTCCCTCAAGGCCGAGATTAGGGAAAACCGTGCCGCAGTCTCCAGAGAGGCGACCGTTATTCGGAAATTTCGACGTATTGCTGATTATTTTGTTTTTTTTTGTTCCTATGAATGCGAGCGTGTGAGTGCGGATGGACGCGGGGGCGGAGGAAAGACGAGAGGCCCGGCTAACGGACAAATTCCGCGGCGAGCACGGTGGAGAGGCGTGCGGAGCGGGAACGGAGCGCGCGGAGCAGCGAGCCGGGAGGAAGGAGCCCAGGGCCCGTGGCACGATACCGGAGGGGCGTCAGC